GGGCTCCTCCCCAAGTTATGCTGAAGTGTCTTACCATTTAGCTAGTTAGCCAGTGCTAGGACTGCATTATCTTTTTGTGTCTTGCATCCACTGTTTTCCAGGTTCTCCGCTGTCTCCTTGCTTTAAGGATCAAGTAGACGATTTCTCTATTCCATGAAGGATTTCCTTTCAGGGGGAGGTTCTTTATGTACATGTATACCATGCACATATGTTGCTGTGCGCTCTCTTTTTTTTTTTGCCTGCTGTTAGTGGTAGCAAGCTAGGGTCAGGCTGTGTACATAAGTCTGTATATTTGTACAGTGCAAAATATATATTTTTTTATTACAAATTTTTATATATTTTCTCCTTTTCCCAGTTGTATTCCCTTTTCCCCCTCCCTTTTTTCTGTATGGGATACCCTGCTCCTGGGCTCAGGAGCCATCATTTCTGTTACTCTCAGGGCACATGAGAACATGACTGTTTTCTAGAAGGGGTGAATGTAGCACCCTCCTAGATAGCTATGGGGAGCTAGCTTTTAAGCTAGAAAGGCTGAATAGCAGTCCAGGCTGAGCTAGAGGGTTATTTTAGGTCAGGGCTGAGAGGATCTGTGGGTCAGTTCCCTGATACCTCCCCCTGCTCTAGAACCTTGGAGACCAAGACCAGGGCCAGTAAGGGGAAGGAGCACTGGTGGGGAAACTGTATTAGCTTTCTACCTGGGATTGTCTTCCATTTAAAGTGACAGGCACTGGATTCCCTGCCCAGAGATTCCTTCAGACAGCTGGATAGAGGAACATCTGGGGTCTGGGTTGGTACATTAGGAGATGCTGGCTAGCTCTCCAAGAAATGAATTTTGCTGTTTAAATTGACTTGTACATAGTTCCAGGAATATTGTCCTCAGTTGCCATTCCCTTGGGCATCCCATACATCCCTTACCCCATCTATGTTCAAATCTCCTAATAAAACTGAAAACAAAACAAGCTCAAAGACTGGTTACTTTCTCCTGGATGCATGTCTGTGTGCAAAATGCATGTTGTCTGGCTGTGCAGGACTATAGGCGGACCCAAATCTCTAGTGACTCCTAAGGGGGTAGTGCTACACATGGCTGGTCACAAAAGGCGCAGTCTGTAAGAGTAGCCGAGGTCAGAACCAGGAATCAGGCAGAAGACGGGTCCAGAAGCCAACCGGGTCAGTAACGGAAAGTCCAAGGAACACAGGAATTTCAGGATCAAGGAGCATGGGGGAGCAGATGATCAACCCACACACTACTGTCATCCATATAAAGGGAGTTTGATGTCAATCCTGCATGGAGATGTGTGTGGATGTGCACCAGTGTGCATTCCTGTGTTAGCTCGCATATGCGTACGGCCATGCAGGGTACTGGCAACAGTGCCAAGTCTTTGTTTAAGCACATGTGTGCCTTTATTTCGAGCAGTGCCCTGACACTCTTCATAGGCAATCTTGTGCCTTGAGCCTCATAGCTGTATATCTGTAGTGTGAGATCATCTAAGGCACTGATTCTTCAAACAGCTAGTCTCTGCAGATTTGAAGTGAAATTTGGTGATGTCATTTTTGAACTGCTTAATGTGCTCCTTGCTGGGGGAGAAACTGCAACTGAGAACCTGCAGTGCAAGAATCTCTGTGTCTGATTTATTCATTCTGTGGACCAGTGCTTCTTCTAACTTCTTGATTATTAGTCATCAGAGCAGAACTCATTGATGGGACGGGAGAAGAGCTCTAACATGAGGAATCAAAGTTCTTCTCCTCTACCACGATAGCCATCCCACACATGTAGAATGGTCAGCTACAGGGAGCCAATAGGCAATACCGGTGACTAATTATTTGCCCACAGCTTCCACAGTACAGCTTCTTTACTAGAGTCCATTAGATGATTATTTTGAAACTACAACTGAAATAACAATCAAGTAGATCATTTTAAAGTTGATACTTTATCTACAGCAATATCAGCATTCTGTAGATTCAGTATTGACTGGATAGCAGTTACTCATCAGGAAGTGCTAAAAGCATTCATTGACAGAAACATTTCACACGATAGCCGAGACATAAGACATGGTGCAAAAACTGTTTCAATGTGGCAACTGGCTGAGAAGTCTTGAGATCCAGACTGATATCCATGTCCTTCAGCTCATTTGATGTTCCCTATTAGGGTCATGCAAAGGATAAGATAGCTTGATATTTGTCAGGAAATTGCACTTCTCTTTATATACACAAATAGCAGTTAACATTTACCCTTTCATCAATATTTCTACAAACTGACAGTAGAAGTGTCTAAAGCATATCATCAGATCCCTCAAACACCAGCATATATCATGTGTTGACATTAAATATTATTAATGGTGCGCTGTAATAAAAAAAAGAGGCCCCAGGACTTGACCTCATCAAATATATTTTATTAAAATGCGTGCCATGCGTATAATAACCAATACCTTCAAAGTAAGTAAACAGTGAAAATTGAGAATTTTTCATTTCCCCAACATTTCTGCGAGAATCGAGAGTTTTTGGCAAAACCTCACTATTTTATTGAAATGTATTAGAAAACAAAAAAGCAATGTCAAAACACTGCAATTGAATTTAAAACAGACTTAAATTCTCTCAATCAGCATGAAATATTTTTATTCCTCATGCTGTCAGTATTAGTAAATAAATAAGAAGGTATATTATATTTACTTGTATAACACTACACCCTTAAGAGTCACGAGAGATTTGGGTCCTTCTATAGTCCTGTACAGCCAGGCAACACACATTTCCTTCCAGCCTTGCACTTCTGAGACAGTAAACAGTCCTTGAACTTGTTTTTTTTTTTTATTAAGGGGTTGGTCATTTGGATGGGGATGAGGGATACATGGGATGCCCAAGGAACTGTTAAACTGAGGACAACATCCTGGAACTATGTACAAATGCTCATAAGGGGTTTTCTTCTTTGGAGAGCTATCCAGCCTCTCCTGGTGTACCACCTCAGACCCCAGATGAAATCTTGTCTTTCCCAGCTGCCTGAGGGAATCCCTGGGTAAGAGGTCCCAGAATCTGACACACCATCCTGCTCACCCCATCTTCCACCCAAATTCTCCAGCTACTGAGCAGGCTCAATCACTTTTAAGGGCTGTGCTGACCCCATGCCAAGCCTCCTGCTTGGGGATTGTTGGTGTCAGTAGGAGGAATAGCGATCTGTCTTTAGTGTCAGTGGAAGGAATAGTGCCTCTTATTAGTGGAAGGAATAGTGCCCCAAGGTCTGGAAAAAAGCAAAGGGCCTTCCCTGTTTCACAGGCTGTCCTCTCTCAGGGGATGATGAGGCTAAGAAATCCTCCCCTCCAGCTCCTCTCCTTAACCCCCTCCTAGGCTCCACACACCACCCTGCTCACTTCATCTTCCACCCAAACTCTCCTGCAGGGTTACTCACTTTTAAGGGCTGTTCTGACCCTATGCCAAACCTCCTGCTTGGGGACTGGTCAGGATCCCCTAAGAGTGCAGACCAGCTCCTCCTCATCCCCGCCCACTGAGTTCTAAAGACTACACCAAGTCTCTAGATCAGGAGGAGGTATCAGTGAGTTGATCTGCAGAGCCTCTCAGCCCTGACCCAAATTTGCTTCTCTATTTCTCCCTGGTTGCTGCTCAGCCTTCTAAGGAAAAATAATCATCTAGCTTTCCTAGGAGGGTGCTACACTTGTTCTAACTTTTTTTTTTTTTTTTTACATTTCCTCAGTTGCTTCCTAGTTTCTGGCCTAGGCCTAAATGATATCATACATCCCAGGAGTCTTGACATTTTTTTGCTTTCTTCTGGAGGAGAAGACAGTCATTCTCAGCTAAGCACGCCCTCCTGCCTGCTTGACTGAGCTAAGGGCAGATGGATTCCAGGAAATAATGCTACATGAATCATCTGCCCTCAAAGTGATTTCTCAAAAATAAACACATAAATAAATAAGTGAATAAATAAAGCATGGAGACATGGGTGGATGGGGGCAGGGGCGGACTGACCATTTGGAAACTCGGGCACTGCCTGAGGGCCCGGGGTCAGTAGGGGGCCCCATGAGATGCCCCTGGTACCTTTTTCATAGGCTTTTTTGAGTTTGGCCAAGGACACAGGGGCCCCATGATCCCTTATTGCCTGGGGGCCCCATGAGTTGTCAGTCCGCCCCTGGATGGGGGAGTTTGCTTTGAATAACAAAAAATGATTTAAACAGCTTTTTTCAGTTTGTAGAGCTCAGATACAGTTTAATTCTGCTTTAGGCTAATTAGGCTAAGCATAGATGGATAGAATTTTATTTGAATGAGAAAATTGCAAGATCAGTGTAGAGACAAAATCCTGCAGTCAGTTTATAGACACAATTCATATGAAAATTAGAGGATATTTTCATTAGTTTGCTATTGTAATGTAACAGTTTTTTACATTCAGTTTTGGGATGGATAACAGTTTATATTTATGACTGTCACCATAGTAATCACTCCTTCATACTACTGTATTTGAGCACTGTTTGTGAAGGCTACAGCCATTCTTTTGTGCGTTGTTTGTTGGAACAGGCTTGGTATTTTTTTCCCTAGAGTGAATTTTGTGCATTAGGCAAGCAAGTCTACAATAGCCCCTGTGTTGCTTGGAGTTCTGGCAATAAAAGAGGAAAAAAAGAAGAGGAGGAAGAATAGGAAGCAGAGAATTATAGACCAAGAATTGGTTGCAGAACTGTGAAAAACCTTCATACATGGCTTTACTAAAAGATACGTAGAACAATCCAGATTACTTTCATTCTATCTGCTCTGGTGTGTCCTCTCAAGACTCATAAAAGAAATCTACAGTGCAAACCAAACATAAGACACATTAACTGCTTACCAGATAGTTAGACCACTGATATTGGGAGGTCAAACAGTGCTTAAATATATGCCAAGAACACTCAAAGATGCAGACCAGGGACACTCCTGCCCAGGGGCGGACTGACCATTTGGAAATTCGGGCACTGCCCGAGGGCCCCGGGTCAGTAGGGGGCCCCATGAGATGCCCCTGGTACCTTTATCATAGGCTTTTTTGAGTTTGGGCAAGGACACAGGGGCCCCATGATCCCCTATTGCCCGGGGGCCCCATGAGTTATCAGTCTGCCCCTGCTCCTGCCTCAATTTTCTCAATCAGAGTAAATCGACACCAGATATATAGGAAAGGCAAAGGAACTCCATGGTGTAGTATGTAAAACCATGCCATTTAAAAAGAAAGGGGCTCACAAATAAATCATAAGGAGACAAGCCTGTATTTTTTCCCCTGGATGACGTCCCTTGTGATGAAATGCATCAGGCGGATTGTGGAGATGACATCACCATACCCGCTTGGCAGAGCAGAGCAAAAAAATAAAAGGTTGAATTCACACATGGTGTGGTGTACTGCACTATAAAACGGCTGTCACCGCAAGGACATATTCACACTGCAAAGCAGCCTGGAGCTGTGCTGCAGCGTGCGGCAATAAAATGCAGACATGCTGTATTTTATTGCAGCGCACTGTATAGAATTGCATGGCAGAGTACAGAAGTACAGCGTACCATGCTGCTGTGCAGTAATATGCATAAAAGTGTACTTTTGTACACTTCAGAAAAGTTTGTACAAAAAAAAAGACAGCTGTGTATGAGCTGAATCACACACCCCACTGCCCCCTACCCCAGTCAGAATGGACAGTTGCCACAGAACTAAAGCACCCTGTATAAAAAAAATGTATATTAACCTTTTTATAATCGGCTCATCTCCAGTCAGTTGGTTCAGCAGCTCCGACTTTCCTGTGTAAGTGAGCAGCAGCTGCAGGGGAGAGGAGGAAGCACCAAACAACAGCTAGGCCATGGGAGCCTATGAATTGAGTGCTCCATGACACAGGGGAGTGGGAGCTGCAGGATCACATGACCAGACTGGACTGAAAAACGGTAAATATACAGATATTTTTTAATAGGTGGAATAGGTAGGTGTCAGGCTCCGCCCAGCGGGATCTCTAGTGGTCCACGGCACGGGGTTTCCCAGGACGCGGAGTCTAAGTCCCAGTCTGCCTTTTCACCAGAGCCCCTGATGGTGGGGATGGACTTGGTGCAAGACTGGAACCAGGTCGCGTCCCTGGGCACCCCCGGCGGTGGCAGAGGGGTCCCGCTGAGGGTATGTGCCCGGGATGAGTCTGCTGTGAAGGGGATGACAGACCCTGATCCGAGCGGGATGGATGGGATGACAGATCCCGATCCGAGCGGGATGGATGGACGACTGCTAGGAGTGAGCAAGGTCAGACTAGCCGGGTCGGTATCGTGCGGGCAGCGTGGTACAGAGGGAGCAAGCGGAGAATGGTCGGGGTCACAAGCCAGGTTCAGCAGGTAGCGGGCAGCGTGGTACAGAGAGTCGGTCAGAGGGATGGTCAGGAACGAGTCGGGGTCAGAGCAGGAGAGGGTCAGCGAAATCAGAACAGGCAGAGTTTGGCAACAAGGAAACGTACTAGCAGGAACACAGGAACAGGAACAAGACCTTGCGGCACTTTGGAAATGCACAGGGCAGATTTAAATAGGGCGCCCTGAGTTTCCATTGGCGCGGCCGCGATCGCTACTGCGCATGCGCGGCCGCCGCCCGCGATCTCTGTATTCGCCGGCCAGGAAGAGTCGGCGATCTGCGCATGCGCGCGACGCTGAGCGGCCGGGATCCTGACATTGCCCCCCTCCTACGGGCAGCCTCCGGATGCCCAACCGACCCCTTCCTAATGCCTGGTTCCGAAAAAAATCTCTGCACAAGTCTTGGGGCGTGCACATTTTGGGCCGGCTCCCACGAATTTTCTTCCGCCCCATACCCTTTCCATTTCACCAGAAACTGAGTCTGGCCTCCCCTTTTCCTACAATCCAGGATAGCCTCAACTTCAAATTCCTCCTCCCCATCCACGTTTACTGCCTCCGGTGGTTTAGACCTTCGGTCCGGGAAGGGGTCTGGAGTTGCTGGTTTCAGTAGGGATACGTGGAAGACCGGATGAATCTTCATAGATTCAGGCAGAGCGAGCTCGTATGCTACCTCATTGATCCTGCGTTTGACCCGAAATGGACCCAGGAATTTGGGAGCCAATTTCTTCGATGGGCAGGACATCTTTAAATTTGTGGTGGACAACCAAACCTGGTCCTCCGGCCGCAAACTCAACTCCCCTCTTCTCTTTTTATCAAAAGCCCTCTTATTGCTCTCCTGGGCCTTTGCCATCGCCTCTTGGAGCAATTTGCTATTAGAGGATAAAAATCTCAGCATGTCCTGCGTGGCCGGAACCGTGACTTCCGGAATCAAATCCGGCAAAAAAGTGGGGTGGAACCCATAATTTGCGAAAAAAGGAGCCTGGCCTGTAGCAGAATGACTCGCGTTATTATAGGCGAACTCCGCTAGCGGCAGGAGGGTCAACCAGTCGTCTTGGAGGAAGGTAGTGTAGCATCTGAGGTACTGTTCAAGTGTCTGATTCGTTCGTTCTGTCTGGCCGTTTGTTTGTGGGTGATATGCAGAGGACAATGACAGTTTAATCCCAAGCGTCTCACATAGAGCTTTCCAAAATCTAGACGTAAACTGAACCCCCCTATCTGACACAATATCCTTGGGGATTCCGTGGAGTCTTACCACCTCCCTGATAAAAAAACTGTGCGGTCTCATGGGCTGTCGGTGTGTCCTTTAAGGGTACAAAATGAGCCATCTTGGACAACCGGTCTACGATCACAAAGATTGCTGTGTGTTCCTGGGAGGGGGGAAGCTCTACAATAAAGTCAACGGAGATCTGCTCCAAGGTCTGTCAGGTATTGGTAGTGGGCGTAATAGGCCCCAGGCCTTGTTTCTGGTAGTTTTATTCCTCTGGCACACAGTGCAAGTCTTAACATATTTCTCGCAATCCCTGGCCATAGTGGGCCACCAAAAGGTGCGTTGCAATAGTTCCAGGGTCTTGCGTATTCCAAAATGTCCCGCTAACGGGTGGTCGTGGCAGTATCCAAGTACCAAGGTACGGGTCTCCTCGGGAACTACAATCTGGCCTTCTTTCCAAAGAAGCCCCTCCCGATTCACTAAGGAAATACCGGGTGTGCCTGGCATGCCTATGGATGCGGTCTGCTGTCTGGAGCGGAGCTCAGATTGTAGGATCAAAAAAGTTCCCTGAGGACAAGATTGTGTCGGGTCGGGGCGTCTCTTCAGGGTCCCCGAACATACGGGAAAGCGCGTCGGGCTTAGTATTCTTTGATCCTGGTCTATAGGTAATGTGAAAAGCAAATCGCGAAAAAAAAAGTGCCCACCTAGCCTGACGTGGTCTCAAGCGCTTTGCTGTCCTCAAATATTCCAGGTTTTTGTGATCTGTGAATATCAATATTGGGTGTACTGCCCCTTCTAATAAATACCTCCATTCCTCTAGTGCCACCTTGATTGCTAGAAGCTCCCGGTCCCCAATATCATAATTCCTTTCTGCGGAAGTCAGTTTTTCTAGAGAGAAAAAGGCCACTGGGTGCATGAGCTCTTTAACGCCCTTCCTCTGCGACAAAATCGCCCCCACTGCGTTTTCAGACGCATCCACCTCCAGGATATAGGGCATAGATGAGTCAGGATGGCTCAGGATAGGGGCCTCAGTGAATAACCTCTTTAAAGTGGTAAACGCTTCCTGCGCTTCTGGTGTCCACTGGAAACAGACCCCCTGTCTGGTTAACTGAGTAATCGGGGAAACTAAACCTGAAAAGTTCTTAATGAACTTTCTATAGAAGTTTGCGAAGCCTATGAATGAATCGTTGGACCGCCTTCTTGTCAGTGGGTATAGGCCAATCTAAGATAGCTGACACTTTTGGGGATCCATGGCTATACCTGTAGTGGAAATGGTCAGACCAAAAAGGAAATGCTATGCTGCTCAAAGCAGCACTTGTCTGCCTTAGCATATAGACCGTGTTGGCGGAGTCGTTCCAAAACGTACCTCACATGCCCCCTATGGACCTCTAAGGATGGGGAAAAGATCAAGATGTCGTCTAGGTATACGACAACAAAGATGTCCAGATAGTCCCTAAAATACATCATTAATGAAGTGTTGGAAAGTGGCGGGCGCGTTGCATAGGCCGAAGGGCATGACCAAGTATTCAAAATGCCCGAATCTAGTGCGGAATGCTGTTTTCCACTCATCCCCCTCTCTGATGCGGACTAGATTGTATGCTCCCCCTCAGGTCCAGTTTAGTAAAGATAGAAGCTGACTTTAATCTCTGAAAGAGCTCAGGGACTAGAGGTAGCGGGGGTAACGATTCTTGACAGTTACTTTGTTCAGGTCTCGATAGTCTACACAGGGTCGTAGGGATTTGTCTTTTTTTTCCACAAAAAAGATACCAGCCCCAGCTGGCGAAGTGGAGGGGCCGAATAAACCCCTTGCGGAGACTCTCGTCAATATACTCCTTTAGAACCCCTAATTCCCGTTCAGTTAACGGAAATATTCGCCCAAAAGGTATCTCGAGCCTGGGAGCAAATCAATCGGGCAGTCATATGTTCGGTGCGGGGGCAGGACCTCTGCCCCCCGCTTACTGAATACATCTAAATAACTATGGTAGGCTAAAGGAATGGCTTGAGCCAATTCTGCCTCCATATCCAGACAGAGCAAAGCCTGCGGTGTGCGGAGACGCACTAGGGAGGCAATGCTGCTGGCAATAGGATGACGTGAAGTGAACTGAGCCAGACTTCCAATTAATCTGCGGGTCATGGGCTTGTAACCAAGGGAGGCCCAAGATCACCGGAAACAGGGGGGATGCGATGGCATCCTCGGCGGAGAAGCTCCTGGTGATGGTTGGCCACGGTAGTAAAAATAGGTGGAGTTTCACGGTCCACTACCCTGACCTAATTTGGGACCCGTCAGCTAAGAAGATATTTAACCCTGTCTCCTTTGACTGTAAAGGAATCTGCTGCTGAGCTGCGAAATCCAGATCTATGAAGCAACTACATGCTCCAGAGTCTATAATTGCGGTAGTTACCACAGTTCTCCCTGGCAGCTGCAAGGAGATAGATACTGCTAGATAACTGGTGTCGTTCTTAACCTTAGGAGTAACCGTGGAAAATATCGCAGGAAACCTCCTCCTCTTGGCAGGGCAGGTATGTACTATATG